CTGTGCATATGTAAATGCATGATGTCTTTTTACACCCTGCTTACCTGCTGCCTACCTACTACCTACCTCACCTCCGTGCCCAAATGTCATCCAAAGCATGTGGCATCAGTCTTGAATTTACAAAGCGGCCGACCACCACCCGCTCACTCACACAGACACACACATACCACACACACACACACACACAGTACGGGAGCTCTTCCAAAGTAAAAATAGCCGCGCCCCTTCTTCCGTCCCACACTCCCATCCCTTACCCGCAAGCGCCGTCAACATTCCCTCCCCCCCCATCCCAATCTACCCGCGTCTATCCCCAATTCAGCCGCGATACCCATTCGACCTCAACCTCGTGTGTGTGCAGCACATCACAAGTTCCCCGGGCCCGGGTATACTGTCCACACCCGCACCCACACCCGCCACACCACACTCGTCTACCCCATCCCGTCTAAGCGAAGTGGTACATTCTCATAATCACTCTCACGTCAAGCAGCTTGGTTGAACCCATTAATTAAAACTTGGATAGATATGGAGAAAAAACCACAATGCCGTAGACGAAAAAGGGGGGCGAAATGCACTTGCAATCTTTTGCGTCCTCGCCTATAGGAAGCGGCAACTCGCTTCCAGCAGTAACCTCTTTCACCCGCACAAACTGTCAATCTTGGAAAAAAGAAGAAAAAAAGACCATCTTAACACGGAATTGATACCCTCCTCCCCCTGCCGAACCCACCAGCCGAAGTTGTTTGCTGGCGTCGTCATAACCGTCCAGACAAGCCAGTGACGGGCGGCTCATTCGGATCGGTTCCATACAAGCCCCCAAAACAAACTTTGTATCCTGCCAGATCCGGAATCTCTGGCATAATCTTCATATCTGGGTCATTCGGCTCAACGGGACGAGACCAAACAAACAAACAAGGCAATATCGCGGCTTTTGGATAAGTGTTTTGGTTGTTCGGAAGGAATAGATACTGGGCCAAGAGATGATGAGGCTTCATGCTTGGAAAAAGGAAACAAAAGCGTACCGATAAAAGCATGCTGAAGTTGAGTGCAGTGGTAGCCACCAAGGCTACAGCCACAGCTGCGGCTGCTGCACTGGAGGACGAGTGCGTCGATCAAGCACATATATACGCCCTCCCCCCAAAAAGACAACTGACAAGGACAAGGCCTCGACGGCAAGACCCAGGATCCAAATACCGTGCCGCGTCCAGGTGTGGTCCAAAAGAAACATGGGCATGGCCACCATACCATGCCGTTCATGCCTGCCTGCCGACGACGAGACAAGTCCACGTTGTCAAAGGGAAAAAACAAATCCCACGTGCAGGCCGCGTATGGCCGGACCGGACCAGCTCCGAATGGCTGGATGATATTACTAGGTCGGTAAGTAAGATCTGGTCGATCCTGGCTGGCCGCCATCAAACGGCCGCCGACTGGCCGATGTTCATCCGCCGATAGGGTAGACCCATCATCTTTTCAGGCGTGTGTAGAAACACTCCCCATTATCAGATGCATGTCGTATCATAGCATGAACTGACAGGTGAGAAAATGCAACCCCCAAGCTTTGACACCCGGCTGCGCGCTTATTGCCTGCGCCTGTTGATCCCGTCCTTATACAACAACGCCTGCCGACTTCGAGCTGAGGTTGACGGGCTGCGAACGCTCAGACGTTTGTGCCAGAAATAAAGACATCCTTCAGCGCTTCTGAGGCATTGACTTGATTTCCGCCGCGAAGGGAAAAAATAAAAAATAAATAAAAAGAGTTGACAGGCAGAGCTAGCTTGCAGGGTTGCATTGGTGATTTTGCCGCAGGCGACTGTGCAAAACAGACGGCTGGATATCCGTATAGCTTCCAGCGTTGCATCCTGCTTGTTCAAGGCAACGGAAAATGCCGCCTCGCCTGTGCGCCGAACTGCCAAAATGGAGCCGAGGGAGACGTACGTGTCGTGTACGTAGAAGTGGGCAGAACAGTGGGGGAGAGGAAGGGAGGAAGGAAGGAAGAAAAAAAGGCCGCCGTTGGAGGAAGAAAAGGATTCTTGGTTAGGTGTGGTTAGATATCGCGAGTTCGGTTCAAGAGCCGCAGGGAGGCATCGCAGAAAGACGCTAGGCAGCACCCGGCAGACAGTTCGTGATAGTGTAGGTGTTCGCCCGACATGCGTGAACTCTTGGGGCTACACTACCCTCCGGAAGGGCAGAACGGGCCGGGTGGCCGTCCCGGGTTCGGGTCCGAGCCAGAACCATAAGCGCCGTGTGGGGCTGATCATCCACACCGTTGCAACTCCAGTGCAAAGTCAACGGCGGTAACGACGACACCTCTTGGTTGCGGACGCCGCCGCCGCATTGTCCGTGCCAAAAGCTGCCGGTAACGACGGGCCTCCGGGAGGAAGAGTGTGAGTGAACCCATTCCGTGCAAAGATTGCCGAGCGCGGTTGGCAGTTCGGTTGGCAATTGGCAGATTGATTGATGAGTCGTCGCTTGCATGTTGGGCTTCCCTTCGGCGCTTGTCCGCGCAAAAAAATGAAGGACAGGTTTGTGTGTGCTTACAGACGCGGGGAAGCAGACGCAGGCGAGGGAGGAGTCGGACGGAATGTGGGTGGTGGTGGAAAGAAAAGAAGGTTTCCCCTCCC